ACGTCATTTCCCGCTTTTTAACGGTATTTGTGCAAAAGTCGTTGAAAATGGTGAGCGATAGATAAGGCCCTATCCACAAAACGCCGGAGAAATTTGAAAACCGTGTTTTCACAACGTATCAAATGTTTTCTGTCCACACTACGCCGGATAAATTTGAAAACGCGACAATACCCAATTTCCCTTATAAGACATGCCTGCATGAAATCATGATAGATAGGGAAATCACATGATTACCGTAACGTCATCGTTTTCGAAAAGCTCCGTTTTCAGCATGTTTTTCGTCCACAGTAAAACGCAAAGCCAGCCAGCGTTTTCAAATTCCTTTTGGGAGGCCTAACCGTAAAAATATAGCTGCGTTTTCAAATTTCTCCGGCACAGTGTGCACGAGTCCTTAGTCTACATAACAAAAGAAAATTACATGATGGCTTGAAGAAACGAACAAACTCAACCACTCGAAAATGTCATTTATATCTTCTCGCCGCCGAGCAGAGCAGTTATCAGAACAAATTTGACACTTTTTAGAGCATTTTAGCCTGATACTGACAACATCCCTTTTATCTTTTACTTACTTGACCATGGCTTCCTCGAGTTCGAGCTTGTATTCATTCACAGAGTGCTTGCATTCACTGAGCTAGAATTTAAAAATGCAAAAAAAAAATGTACTCTTAAATATGAACAAGCAACTCTAGAAATGGTCTTAAATCCGATTTTAGATGACAAACCAGCTCTGAGAACTAATTCATTTAAAGTGATGAGCAGTGACCCTGAGTAAAGTTACCTGGTTTTGCAAATCAGCTTTCTTCTCCTCGTATTCACTGTGTAAATAATACCAAGGAAACGAGAACTCTTAGTATTGTTGATGAGAGCATTTTCTTGTGTAAACCTCCGCCACCCCCCCACTCCCCCGTCCCTTCCCCTACCTCCTCGAAAATAAGCAACAGCAAATGTTTTCTGGTACGTTTTATTCTACTCTGGAGAAAAAAAGGCGAACAGAAGGTAGCACAAAGTAGCTTGCCCAAGAAAACCAACAATGCCTGAATAGGAAATTCCAACCCGGAATCTAACACCTCCCAGTCCCTGGGACTAGAGGGGAGTATGGTTTTGTTTTATATGTTTCGGGATGATCATGTTAATTAGGCACTACTGTTTTCCAAGGTATAAAAATTAAGAATTGAAATTAGCTTTTTAACCATGGAGATCTCTCTTGCGTGCTCTTTTAAACGATAAGCATGCTTAGAAGTATTTCGAATGCTTTGTTGCAGTCAGTGGGTTCTAAGAGACTTTCGATCATTTTGAATAAGTTGGTTTTTACTTACAACTGAAAATAAGAATAAGGTATGTAGAAAATAATTTTCGATTCAACGGAGATAGTTGACTTTAACTTACACTGCCATTGAGGAGATTCCACTGGACATCTTGAAAAATAGAGACAAGAAGAAACAATTCAATACAAATGAACAAAAATTCAATAACCATGAAAATGTTAACGAGGTAAATTTTCACAAAAAAAAGATAAATATGTTAACGCCATAAAGTGATTTGATGATAATAAAAGAGACGTTTTGACAGGTAAGTAGATTCTCCCAAAGAGAAAAAAAAGAAAGTATGTGAGAAATGCACATGAGAATTCAAAAGCTGTACTGACTTAGATAAACAAAGTATGTTCACCTAAGCGTTATAAGACAATCTTAGTTGCCGTTAGCGTTATCTTTTATGTTGTAAGCTTTTTTTAACAAAATTCTTCCACTCACCTTTTTAATAATTGCTTCAGAGAGTTGTATTTCAAATTGTTGTTTTAAGCTCGTATCTTTGAGCTCCGCATTGTCACATCTCAGAGCAGCAACTTTATTCTGAAGTTTGAAAGCTGCACTGTGAAGTTGCACGGCTTCATTCTGGAGTTCACGAGCACCCTTT